ACTAGACTGTTTGAAAAACATGCTGGGCACATGTGTGTGCATGTCCAAACTCCTGAGAGAATATTAGAGAAAGGATTGCACTGCAGCCATCCCCATTGGAAGCATGCATTCTCTCCCTCCCTCTCTCTCTCTCTCTATATATATATATATCTATATCTTTCACTCTCTCTCGTCGTGCAAGTACACATGCCCTATAGTACATTTTTAAAAAGAAAAAAGGTAATATCATTATAGATTTATAGATGGGAAAGAAGATTTGATGTGAGACATATTTCCGAAGCAGAATTGACCTAATTTGGTGACTGACTAGATATTGTGGTAAGGAAGGTGTGTAAGACTACATTCAAATTTCTAGACAACTAGCAGATCATTGGTACTATCTAAAAGGCAGGTTTTTACCTATAAAGTTTGAATTGACTGTGTGATATTAAGTGGAAATGTTCAACAGTCTGACTAAAAGACTTGGTAAAAATCAGGGTTTTGTAACCAAACTGAATTTAAAAAGATTGTACTGTTTATATGAGGAACTCAGAAAACCAATGATTATATACACTGGAATTTCTATATCCATAACCCATTACTCCTGAAAGTAGTCTCCTGGGGTTTCATTTACAAGATTTAAAATAGTGAACAAAATATATATAAATATATATACTCTGTAAAACAAGAAAATTCATATATTTTACTGGACCTGATTTAAAGACAGTAATTGCCCTTTCTAATGACATTTTTAAATGAGCACAATGGATGAGGAAGTAGAACAAGAGGAAGAAATTAGAGAGAAACAATCACATTTTATTTGGGTTTGGGTCTTAAACAGCAGATAAAAATCTGACAGGTCATGGCTATTAATAATATATGAGTGGAGCCAGCAGGTGGTGTGGTGTTTAGGGTGCTAGCCTCCTACATGGTAGACTGTGGTTCAAGTTCTGGACTGGTGGCTTGAAAACTCATGCCAAGCACATGTGTGTGCATGCCCAAAATCCTAAGAGGAGAATGGAGAAGGGATTGTGGCATGGCCACTCCCCTGGGGTGGGAGGTGATCTCTCATTTTCTGTATCTGTTTCTTTCTGTCTCTCCAGCAAGTACACATGCCATATAGCAAAAAATCAATTAATTAAAAATACATGAGGGAATTAAATAAAATTCTTGCAAAATTTAACTGAAGTACAAGTTTATTTAGGTCTAAAAAAATCCAAAATACATGTTTGTTTTCACAATGCACATTTTCCATAAACTTTTTAAAGAGACTACCTAGAATAGAACCCTATAGAATTTCACTGCCAAGGGAATGACGGAAGGATGCAAACTTGAGGAGTTGTCTGGAAATCATTCATATGAGGTCATGAGCTACTGTAGCCACTGTCCACCCCCAACAATTAGTATCTGGTTCATCTGGGATCTCCCTTTCCCACAAACATGTGGGGGCCTCACAGCCTAGGGGGACTAAATCAGTAGCTGTCCTTCATTGACACAGAGAGGGGTATCTCTCCAGTGGTTGAGGTCCTTGCCCTCTGTAGCCTGCCAAAGAAAAGCAAGAGAAGGGAACCCATCTGGTGACCATGAGACATCCACTTCCCTGGGGGCGGTAGCAGCACGAACCCATGTGCGGAAGTGCTTCAGGCCGACAGTAGCTGATGGCTAGGAGGCTCAGAGAGCTTCCACCAAGGGATTCTCCTAGGATATGCTACTTATTTTTATTTATTTGTTTGTTTGTTTGTTTGAGTGGAGGTCTATCTATTCTTCATACCTATGATAGAGAGGGGAAAAAAAGAAACAATGGAAATTTAAAAACGAAATAATACTAGACAGCATAGTGAGGAGAATGGTTTCAAAAACTCCTAGTTAAACAAAGAATCAAGTAAGAATGGAGACTATATTAACATTAGTTGATGGGGCACCATTTCTAGGTACATTTTAAGCACTGGAGATTTTTAATTTTAACAGAAAATTATATGCTCAATAAAATGGTCCCATATAAAGTTAAAAATCAAATGAGAAATATTGCCAAAAAACTGCAAACAGGTATAGTTATAAAACTCTGTCAAACTATAAAAGCCACTGAGTCAGTCTGGTGATTTTGTAATTCTTAAAGAGAAGCCACCCCTGTTGGTGTGGTGGCTAAGGGCACTGGATTCCCACATGGCTGACAGTGGTTCAAGTCCTGGACTTGGTGACTTGCTTTCTCACTTTCTCTCTCTCTCTCTCCCTCGTCAAATTAAAATAAATAAATAAATGGATACATAATGTTAAATAAAATAATTCTTTAAAAAAGAGAGAGAGATAAGCAGGGTATTTATTTATTTATTTACTTTTAAAATCTTTTTTTTAGATTTTTGCCATATGGCATGTGTGTCCACCAGAGAGAAAGACAGAGACAGAGAGAGTAAAAGTTCACATCCCAAGTTCGATAGCCATACCACAATCCCTTCTGCTCCATTCTCCTCTTGGGATTTTGGGCATGTACACCCAGGCATCTGGCATGATTTTCAAGCTTCAGGTCCAGGATTCAAACTGCAGTTACCCACGTGGGATCCAGCAACTTAACCATTATGCCACCTGCTGGCCCATTATTTTAAAAAGACTAGAGTAAAGAAGATTTATACATATACATGGTTTTGGTTCTCAGATAGTCTTGAGTTTTCTTACAAGCTTGACATCTTGTAATAAGCACAGGTAAAAAGTAAAGCTACATGAGAGAATGAAATGAAAGCGTGTTTGTGAAAGGACAGTGAAAGTTTTAACCACTGTTAAAGAAGCCTGGATAACTTTCTACAGAAGATATCTCTACACAAGCTACACTTCTATCTCAGCAAAGTAATAACATGTAAAGTTAAATTCCAACATACGCAAGTGATTTAGTATTTCAACAAATTTACCTGGTGGGATAGGGGAAAATAGCCATGAACTTAATAATGCTCATCTGGAATTCTCACTAATAGAAAAACGTAGGTCTAGACATAAGCACACACACACACACGGCCCATTATTTTAAAAAGACTAGAGTAAAGAAGATTTATACATATACATGGTTTTGGTTCTCAGATAGTCTTGAGTTTTCTTACAAGCTTGACATCTTGTAATAAGCACAGGTAAAAAGTAAAGCTACATGAGAGAATGAAATGAAAGCGTGTTTGTGAAAGGACAGTGAAAGTTTTAACCACTGTTAAAGAAGCCTGGATAACTTTCTACAGAAGATATCTCTACACAAGCTACACTTCTATCTCAGCAAAGTAATAACATGTAAAGTTAAATTCCAACATACGCAAGTGATTTAGTATTTCAACAAATTTACCTGGTGGGATAGGGGAAAATAGCCATGAACTTAATAATGCTCATCTGGAATTCTCACTAATAGAAAAACGTAGGTCTAGACATAAGCACACACACACACACACACACACACACACACACACCTATATATGTACACTATTTATAATATGCAGCAGGATAATTAATACTGTATCCAATCTTTTGTCAACATGCATCACTGATTATTATCTGCATTGAAAAAATGGATCAGGTGATGATGCTTAATGCTCAAAATGTAATATTTGATGTAGAAATGTCAAATAAAAGTAATTTCAATTTCACAAGTCAAACACGCACTTCTGCAGTCTCATAACCTTTCTCTGTGATTCCCATTTACTACCGGCAGAAAGGGATTAAAAATGGCTTTCCCATAACACCCAACAATATTGAGGGGAAAAGAAAGGAAAATAAGATAAAAATAGTTAAACATTTACTGTTAGATTAAATGCACCACGGTAATGATGAAAATTTCATATACTGTATTTGAATTGCTCCTTAGGTGAACATGGTTGATATTCCTCACACTGTCTCCCTGAGAAGTACTGGTCCCTATTTCCCAAGGTTGCGGGGAAGATGAAATAAGATGCTATATGAGAAAGAGCTTTGCAAACTATCTAGTAGGTAACAGAGGTCAACGATAAAGGGCATATTTAAAATTGAGAAAACGATGAGGATGGAAAAGAAAATAACTGGACAGGAAAACAAATAGGATTTTTCTGCTCACTAATACCATGCCATTTATACAAAGATCGTAGGATTAAACTGTGTGGGTTTATTCTTTTAAAATTAATTTTCACTATTGTTATAATGCTACGATAAATGCAAGTGAAAGTTACACCAGTGGGGGAAGTGAAAGGATCCTAAACTAGGAAATTAACTGGTAATTCTCTGTACGATCAAAAAGCCTCGAAGCTATGTGATCTGCCTCTGGTGTTCCTTACTTTATACTCAACATCTGAGGAGAAAAGTGGTCCTTGGAATGAGAAAGACCTACCACTCAACAGCTATCCTGTCTCAAACAAATTGGATACAGTTTGAATTTGGAATTTTTCATCTATAAAAATGTGCAGAGTTGTGAAGACCGGACAAATGTGAAATATCTGTGACTATGCAGTAGGAACTTGGTGTATGCAAGCTTTTTTTCTCTTCCTTCCTCTCATGGAATATTTCCTGATTCAGCCAGCAAATCAAGATACGAATGCACAGATTGCTCATTCCTTCTCTAGCATTTATGGCCTAGGAAATTCACAGGGTAATTAATTACATATGACTTTATGACGAATTTGGTACTGCTAGTGAAATCTTCAATGACTATTTGACTTTTCTTGCATTTGTTATTTCTGTTCAGGCAACATTACTTCAGACGATGACCCTTTTTGGAATCATCTCCCCGGGGTTCCACAGGGAAGCCTGTGCATGACTGTTGAATTAATCTGCTGTCTGAGGCTGGTTGAGGCCCCAGGGTCTGTAGGGAGAGTGGGCTAACATCCACCTCTGTGACAAGACAGGCAGCTGTAGCTGCTCTTCTCTGAGCCTCTTGGCTTGTGTCCTGGAGAAGTTTTACTACCACAGGCCACATCTCCCTCCCCACCATGTTTCTTGTCATCTGGCTTCAACTGGTGGCGACAGCTTATGACTGAAGAGGAAAGGAATAGAAGGGCATATGAGCAGGATGCAAGCTCACTTACCTGGATGAGATAGTGGGAACATAAATTGAGAAGCTCCAACAGCTGTAGGTGACTGCCAGCTGCTAACACATCCTGGATCACGCCCGGCTCCAGCAAAATCTGTTTTGTTTTTTAGTAAAAAGAAAACTATCAGTTATATTTAAAAATATATAAGACTACCATACTATATTTAGAATGCTGCCTTCCTTGCTCTCTCTGGATTACTACTGTTCCTTATGATGGAAGTCAGTTCTTTCTGCTTCTATTCTGACTGTGTGGCCCTCACTCTTAACAGCTGAATTCTCTCCTTCCCCACAGCCCAATATTAATTTTCTATGTGTAAAGCTCTCTACAACTAACCACTTATTTTTTGTTGGAGGATTTAAATAATGTCAAAGAATAGTATAACCTTCTTAAATCCAGTTTGTGATGTATGTTTTAAAATACAAAAGAACTGAGTTTTCGTTGTTCAAAGTATAGTGCTGAATTTTGCTCTTTAGTAGGTCAGAGAAATAACACAGTTAACAGGTATTTTGGGAAAAGGGACTGATGTTTCTCCTTGCCATATGAGACCAAAGGTGGACATTATTCTATTTTACTTCTAAGTCCTAGAACAGTAACTTCAACCACAAACGTTCATTGTCCTCCTTCTTAATCTCAGATTCTCTATCACTTACTACTTAAAATAAAGGATGTACAAATACATTTTCAGAATGCAAAGACATCACAGGGACCGCCAAGTATCCTGATGACATCAATTCTACTCTTTCTGCAATTGAAGTTCCACCATCTGCCTGTTGCCGCCAGCTCTTGAGCTGCTAAAAAAAGAGCTGAAGGAAGACACACACCTGTGCTGACCAAATTTACCTGACCTGCATGTCCGCCAGGCTCAAGGAGTCCTTCAATGCCACCCTGGCCATCCATTCTAATCCATTTCCCCAACCAGTGGTTCCCATGGTCTAGCCTCTGACCACCAGCAACAGCATCACTTGGGAACTTGTGAAAACTGCAAACTCTTGGGCATTTCCCAGGCCTACTGAATCAGAAACTTTCAGTGTGGGGCAGCCCAACTTGATGGTGTAGTCTAGAGTGGTGGACTGGATTACAGTGCTGGAAGTCACATGACTATCTGCAGTTTGAATGCCCAGGTTGACTTGAAAACATTCTAGGCTCATGGAGTCCAAGATGCAGAGGAGCCAAAGGGAAGAAGGAGTATGGCGTATAGAGACCCTATTGAGGGTGTTTTCTGTCTTGTACATGTATGCGCACCTGAGTGCATGCGTGTTCGCTATCATAGACCCACAAATTTTTAATAATAAAAAATTTTTAAAAAGGAACTTTCAGTGTGAGGCAACCAGTGTTTTAACAAGACCCCTGGGTGTTTGTGAGTTACAGGGTAGCATAAGCAACCCTGAGGTATCCACTCATCAACTCCACTGCCTCATGCACATTCCTTTCTCCATATGCCTCCAACTCCCCTGTGCCTCCTTGTTTTCACCTTGTGATCTTCTGAAGGCTCCCAGAATCAAAACTACCAACCCAATTACTTATAACCATCTACATTTTGCTTCCTTCAACCCTCCACTTGTGCTCTGGATCCCAACCCCTCCTCCCCCCTTTCATTCTTGTATTATTGAATGTACTATTTACTGGAGGATAAACTCATCAGCATGCAAATATGCTATTGCAGCTCTTATTTTGGTCTTTATGTCATTGGCCACTTTCTCCCTATCTCCTTCCCAATCTCTAAGCTTTGGAGATGGCTAGAGCTCAGTCCTCGGACCTTTCTCTCCTTTCTCCACTTACTTAGTGTTTGATCTCCTGTAATCCCATGGCTTTAAAACCACCTCTGAACTGATGACACTTGAATGTGCTTCTCTAGTCCCAACCTCCTGATTCATATACTCAGCTGCTGACTGTGCATCACTGAGTGGATGTCTAATGGCAGCACAAGCTGAACATGCCCCACACTGAACTCTTGGACCTTCCCACCAACCACCAAACCTGCCTCTACCTTAATCCCACCATCCTGGCCAACCTTGACTACCAGTTATTTAAGCTAAAAGCTTGGAGTCATTCTTGACTCTCTTTGTTTTCTTCATTCCTCACCCCTACCTTCGATCTATCAGCCATGCCTGTTGGCTCTATCTTCAAAATTGTACCAGAATTGGGAATCAGCAGTTAGCGTAATGGCTATGTCGCTGGACTCCCACGTAGTCGACCGCGGTTCGTGTCCCGGACCCGGTGGCTAAAAACTCACGCTGGGCGCGTGTGCGTGCGTGCCCAAGATCCCGAGAGGAGAATGGAGGAGAAGGGATTGCGGCGTGACCATCCCCCCTGGGGGGTGATTTCTCGCTTTCTGTCTCTATGTCTCTCTCTGTCTGTCTGGCGAGTGCACACGCCCTACAGTGAAAATCTCTCAAAAAAAAAATTGTACCAGAATTAATTGATCTCTACGTATATTTTAAATTCAGAATTTTAATTAATTTTATTAATTAATGAAACAAAGACAAAAAGGACTGTAAATGATATTTTTGAATAATAAAGAAAAGGTTAAGAATGTGTGGCAAAAATACCAACGCTCATCTCATTCTGAAAATTCTTTATAGCTCATTTGCTGTCTACCTGGAAGGGAGAACCTGAATTGCTACAGCTCTTTAAGGAGAGAGACTTTGACTGACATCCAGGAAATTAGTGCAGCTCCCATCAGAGGAGCCAGGATGTCATAGAGCCTTGCAGAAGAGGCATGGCCTAAGGCGGAGAACAGGGAATAGATGGATTAGAAAGGTTAGTCTTAGCCTTTAAATCCTGTCAGTTGCGCTCATTTCACACAACTGGCATTCATGATAACCTCTAAGGCTCGGTAATGCCAAACACAAAGACAGATATCACAGGAAGACAAGACAAGTGTTCCATAGCATGTGTTGCACATCCAGCAGGCTCACTTTAAGAAATCCGCACACGAGAAACCTTTACAGGGATTGTTTTGTCTTTGTTTCTTATTTTTTGTTCTGCAGTTTTTTTTTCTTCTCTCATTATACATACACTTTCTAACACACACTTTAGCAGAGAAAATCCGTAAGTGTTTTTTGAAAGGTTTGGAGAAAGAAATCCTACCAGGACAGTAGGTTCTCGCATACAGAAACAGAGTCTGTTTGCAAAGTCACTTGCACTACAGTCTTGTAAATTCAGCTCTGTTACTCGTTGCTAATTAACTTTTCTCATATATTTCCCCAGAAAATTTGTGTTAGGGCAAGAGTAAAAACAAAGGTACAAGCTCCTCATGACTACAGTATGATGAATTTATCAATCATCTGCCTGGAAAAATTGGTCAAAAGAATAACCTCTGTGGAAGAACGAGATCTCAAACGCACACACTTAAGTGCATAACTAAGGCGACTGCATTTAAGCGATGCAAATCTTATGTCAGTTATATTTAGGCCTTCCAGAGACTTATGCCCATCAACATGTAGTCTGGCACTCACAGCAGGACAGACAGGAGAAAGGGTGACTCAAAGACCAGCTACAGAAAGGGAAGGATGTCCCCTGAGAGCTGAGAGCACAGAGAGTGGAAGTTGAAACTACACGAATGACCTGGCACATCTAGTCATTCATTAGTCTAAAGGAACACAGCTCAAGAGGAGGCACAAAATTGGACAAAACAAAATGTCTTGATAGCAATAGATCAAGAAAGATGCACAGCTGGGTAGGTGATAATCTCATCACCCAGACTAAACCCAGGAATCTCTCCTGCAGCCTTTGGCAGGCATGGTCACATAACTGAGAAGAGGTCTACAGCTGACCCCCAGCCCAAATGCTGAGACTCTGCACCCATTTTGGTAGAGATAAGAACTGGACAGTCTCTACAGTCAGGGTCACACTGGGTGGTGAGACAAAGTAACAGGCAGAAAACCCACAAGGGCAGTAGAAGGTGATGACTATTACATCAAACCTCAGCCATGGATGGTCTATTCACCCTCTTAAAAGGAGGCACTCATGAAGAATCTGTCCAAATATGTCCTCTGGCCACCAGTTCAAGAAAGGCTGAAAGTAGACAGCTGAATTTGCATCTCTAGTGAAGACCCTGTAAACTGAGTAACACTGGGCATCCTGGTCCCAGCAATATCTTCAGGCACGATATGGGGTCAGACACTTATAAGAAGAGTGTGAGATCTGGTGTAAGATTCTACACAAGACGTCATGATGTGGGCTGCCTTGGTCAGCACCCAGCCCTCAAGAGCTGAGCTCTAAAGGGACGTAGGCTGGAGCTGGTATATAGTATAGGGCTGGCACACAGACCCCAAAGCATCCCTGCCCTACCTTCTGCAGTTCAACCTCCTATACCAACAGGCGTCCACACTCTCACTTTTGTCTTCTTTTTCTTCTCTTCATTTTCCCTCTTACTTTTATGTTGCTGCTTGTTTTAGCTGCCAGTAGGGATTGTCTCTAACAGCCTCGGAAAGTTTCAGTGCAATCTTTTTTTATATTTTTTTCCTGTGAAAAAGTTGGCATCTTCAGAAAATTCTGCATCTTCAGTTCTTCAAAGCTATCATCCTCCTTTCTAGCATGCGAAGACTTATAAATGATTTGTTTCTGGGTTTGTGGATAGAGGAAGCTGAATGCTTTGAGCATGTTAAGTGCAGACAACTAAGACTTTACCAAACATACATACATATGTGTACAGTTGAGCACAAATATTTCTGCAAGTACAAATGCTCATGCAATTTCAAGGTAGATGTGGTCGAATATCACTTACCAGAATAAATAAATACATTTGCCCTCTTTTTTACACTTTATTTCCTTGGAATTGTTTTCACATGGTATACCAAAATGGTAAATTAACACAATATTGTATTTATAAATTATCTAATAAATTGAACAGGACAGAATAAATTAACTTTTAACTGATCATATATTCAAGACACATAAAGTCATCTGCAAAATGTTCTTTCCAAGAGAATTCTTACAGATGGAACATGAAACATAAGATTTAGCTATGAGAAATGGTCATAAATCTAAGTTTTTGTTTCAAGACTATTATTATGCTAAGGATTTTTTTATCCACAAGGTGGCGCCAATGTTTAAAGCAAAAGGATTTTCTGAATTATTCATGTACACTG